CCCCAAAACCCCAAAACCCCAAAACCCCATTAAGCCTGGCCCAAATTGAAATATAAATATAAACATGGGAATTACGACTTCCTTCAGATCTGTATGTCGCACAAGAATTATACTGTAGAGATATTACGAGTACTCCCTAGATAATAACGGCCACATTTGAGACCAAGATAGTGACGATTCCGAAGCAAGCTACAGCTATGACCAAAGCCCTGCTTGTACACAATAACTTTCACAAATTTAGACGGTGAAGAGTTCGATCATGTGGATGCACAAAAGATTATGGGTAAGTGAAATTGAACATTTATGGTGGAAATTGGATTTAGAAGGGAAGGAGCATAAGCTTCAGGTGGACGAAGTGGAATTTGAGAGTACAGCGCATTCTGGAGGGGTGGTGGAGGAGAGCAAGGGTGGAGGAATAGAGAATGATGGGAGACATAAACTGATGAGTAGAGAGGAAGAAGATCAAAGAGAGTTGTATTTTTGCAATTGCCTCAAGTTTGTTGGGGTGTTTTGGATCCCGGAGTGGTGGAAAGGATCGTTTAGATTGGAGAAATTGATTGGATTGTTCAATTTTAAACAGCTTGATTCTATTGGAGCCTATGTTAATGCATTTAAGGTAGACAATATATAAACTTTAGATGCTTTCTGAGATTTTCTTGGATGGGTACAATCCTCATAGAAGTAAAAAGGAAGTACTCTTGAGCCTTCAAACTGATACAGAGGGAATGAAAGATTTAGATTCCAATAATCCTGATTCGAATAATCCTGATTCCAGTGATCCTGACTCGAGCGAACCTGTTTCAAGTGAATCTGAGGCTTATGATCCTTATGATGATCTTAGTAACAACACTTTTAATCAATAGAATGTATTCATGAACTTGTTGGCGAAGTTGGAACTTTATCGATCGAAGAGGCAAAAACTATGGCATTCCCTCTTGCTAACTTTAAAGAGGTTAACAAATTCTTGATGTCAAAATCAAAGTATCCATGCTTGATACATTCTGAAGATGACTTGGAGATTTTAGAACTGATAGGAGTAATGGATTTCGTCAAAATAGAATTTGGGTGTGAAGACAGGTATATTATACCTCCAATCGTATAGATATTCTGTTGAGAAACATCACAAAGCCTACTTCCAGACCCCCTTGGTTTACATCCTCCTTGGACTTTTTAGGGTGCTATACAATTTTGATCCAATTCAAGAAGGTGAGTCTTCATTTTTGCAGAGATACTTCACCCAGACTGCTGCAAGATATGGAAAAGACATTTTTAGAGGCACTACGGCCGGAGGTAAAGTTGCCAATCATTGATTTTTTCATTTGAAGAAATTAGGTGAAATTAATTAAAACAATCAGAATATCGTCTTTTTTTATGGGATAATGTTTAAATTTGGCGAAATCATTTTCGCTATTATTTTCAGCTAAGACTGCTCTTATTAAGCCAAGATTTTATCTAAAGAGACTTTATAGTCAACAAGAATAGTGAGTCGATATTAAGTTAATCAATACAAATGCATTTTCTTTAACTTGAGGTTTATTTTTTCAGAATCTTTAGATAATTTAAAGACCATTAATCATCTTATTATGACCTTAATGCTGAACGATTATAGACGTAGAGCCAATTATGCCATGGATCTCAGAAGTGATTAGTAAGGGGTCATATTTCTGTTATTGTTGGTTTAGTGTATAAAAAGTTGTTAAAGCCTTTATTAATGGCAAAGAACCTACTTTTAATAGATGATACCACTAAAACTATTCCTGCTACATTATTTCTCCATAATTTATGAACCAAAACACATAGCAATGGAAAGTGATGAAGTAGAGGTAGAAATAATGGAGGTGTACAACTTTTTCAATGCCCTTACCTGCTCTTCTCTTTGGGAAATGCAGCAAAGCCCTGGAACTGACATTATGAGCACTCTTCATATTATTATTTATGGTAATTTTGTCTATAACTAATCGTAGAATCTGATGAAATTCTCCATCCAAATCAAATGGTATTGCTCTATTTGAAATTTTAGGCTGATTACAAAGCAAAAACAATGGAATTATGCATGAACCAGAACTACATCAGCTTCCTTTTAGAGGCAGCTCAGTACGAAAGAAGGTAAGTGATAGAGCTAACTTCTCAGAATCGTGTCTCTCATGAGCCAAGGTGAGCCATCTCGTAGTTTTGTCATGATTGAGTGCGACTTGATTCCCCCTCATAATTTCAAAGATATGCCTATTGTGCATACCAAGAAGATTATTTGAAGTGCCTAGCATGTTTTGTACAACTGGAAAGTTCCTGGTAAATAACAGTGAATTGTTTCAGCGAGATCAGCAATACTTGGGGTTTTGGGGTTTTGGGGTTTTGGGG